TATTTTCAACGTCGACCATTTGGACAATGCTCCTGAAATATTATTTCGATTCTGTTCCTGAGAACTTTGAGATTTTGCCCTATTGAAATGTATGCGTGGTCTTCTTTCAGAGTACTCATTGTTATTGAAAGAGCTAGGTATTGTAAGCCTGTATGACATCAGTTGTCGTAGAAAAAGTACAGTATTTTATTCGCACATCTTCTTAATGACATTCACTGTTCTTAGTACAGATTTGTTTTTCACGTATCTATCGTTAGTATTATTGATAAAGCCTTATTCAAGGTTGATGAAGGATAACGTAAAAATATAGGCTATTCACGCCGGTTGTTCTGCTCATTTTCCATTCATTTTGTTGATATATAACAATCGTTGAAACTTTGTATATTGTGATCTCCGCTTGGAATACTCTTTATTGTTATTAATAGGTGTAGGTATAATAATTTTTTGTCCGAAAATTTTGCATGATGGATATCGTGTTTGTTATATCTCAAGTAAAAAGAATGGTTTGTTTCCATCATTTTATATTCTTGTTGATCAATTTTTTTTAATAGTTGACATATCATGCGATGTTCACGTTCTGCTTGGGAGTAACGATTATTAGAATTTTCTGTGTATTATCTCTGAGATCTTCAGACTTTGCAAATAGGTATTATCGTTGAGGTGTCTTCGCAGTATCTGGAGTTATCTGATGTCGTAGAAAGAGTATAGTATTCTATTCACGCATTTATCGTATGACGCCTATTGTTCTTAGTATTCAGTATTTTAAGGAAGCACTATACTGGCTATTTTTATATTTTTCATTCATTTTATTGATATCTCATAATCATTGGAACTTTTGTATATTGTAATATTCACTTAGCGTGCTCTGTGTTATTCACAGAAAATAGTACGACGTTTATATTATAGGAATATTAATTAAATTGAATATTTGATAATATAGCTTTGAGTGATCAACCATTGATAACTATATTGATTTCTGATATCGTAGTCAATTAAGTCCGCGGAACTGTGTACGTGTGTTAGGTATTTTGATTCATCCGCCACTTTGCCTAGTAATAATAATATGTCCTAGTTACTATGTGAGTGTCTACAAACATGATCTATCACATATGGATATTGTATTCCAATATCGCAGACAAGGCAGTGTTGTGTATAAGTGTTGGATATTTTGATGTACCTTGTATATACCTACTATGTGTTAGGTTCTGCCTAATGTCAATTGCTGTATGGAAATTTTCTTAAATGATCCACTCTGTATATTTGTTTCTTTGTTCATATGAATCGTCGGTTGAATTTCACATGTTTCTCCTTTCAAAGAATGTATATCCACGTAAAATAAATCATTCCGAATAATAACATTTTTGTATGAGAGGTAACGTTCCATTTTTGTCCTATATTTTCCCTATTATTTCTATCCGAGAGGCCTTTGAGTTCTGAATTTTTCTATCACGTTATAGTGATAAACTCCAATTCTGAATTATAAGATCATGGCTGTGATATGGGATAAATATAATATATTATTTTACTTCAATAATTTCCTATGATAATGTTTTTCGGATATAATAATTATATCGCAGTAAACAGGAAATCGTTATCGGCTGGCATTGGTAGAATCATTCTTCTTTCATTCCAGTTCATTCAGTTTGATATAAGGAATATGTTTATGAAGTTATCGCCTATTTATTTTCGAATTTTTTGCATGGACAAATGAGGGGTGATTGGTTATATTTTTTGTTGAATCAATCATTCTTCATTTCTATTCATTAGTTCGATTTTCAACACTACCTGTTAGGAGCTGGGGTTTTTCCCAAGTGTCGGACTATACTCTGTTCAGTGTCATGTGCATAGTTTCAGTGAAAAGTGTCTGAAAATGGTGAATTTCTTCGCTGTTCAGGTATTTATATCCTATTTTTTCCTGTTTGCATACGGGGTAGCTCGAACTTCGTGCTTCTGAATATCTTCGGAATACTCTTGAATACCTCTGAAGACCTCTGAATACATCTGAATACTTTTGAATACCTCTGAAGACCTCTGGATACATCTGAATACTTCTGAAGGTATGATCTGAAGACCTCTGAATACATCTGAATACTTCCATAAGAAAAACGAGTTTTGCTAAAGAGTTGTTCGACATATTTCGACGTGGACGGTAAAAGGATGTTTTTACTGGGTATAGGTATGCTGAGTTCGCCTGATGTCTAATATTATCATTATAAGTATGGAGAATTTCAAGACTCTGACTATGTTTCTGTATATAGAAACTGCTATTCGATCGTTTGTTATCTGCCCCGGTCATCTGCTGTCATGTCATCTATCATCCATTTGATTGAATTACATCGTGATTGGGTTCATGGTAGTTCTATAGTTTGTTTTTCATTATTATTTGAATGAGTGGTAATAAATTTTGAATTTTTTCTACCCCCTGTATATGTTTTTCAAATAATTCATTCGACTCGAGATTTGTGACTCATTCTGTATATGTTTCTTGAATATATATTCCACTCCACTTATTTGGCTCATCCTGTATATGTTTTTTCAGTTGACTTAGGTTTTTCTAATCGCTTTGTATATAATGATATTCGCGAAAAAGTACGTAGATCTGGGGAAAACTCTGCTTTGTTTTACGCAGTCACTTATGGGACGTAACTTGTAATTTCCGTAGAATCTAGGGAAAAATTAACTCTTTCGCTTTCTTGAAATTCGTAGGTTGTGCTAAACCTGGATATCTGTTTTCGATAAGCGCTGGAAGGTTACGTGTCATACGTAATATGTCATCTATCGAATAGTATAAATGTCATCTGTCATACTTTAGTTGTTGAATGTCTGAATAATTCAATTTTCATTCTACAACTTTACCACCCTGTATCTCAGAAATAAAGCCATTTCGGACTGAGTAAGTTCCTTTAATCCAATTGAATTTAATTGATCTGCCCTATACAAGTTTGTATTACTATTTGAAAGCCCTGTATATTCAACGGACTCTAGCGAGTCATCTGTCGTACGTTAATATGTTCGCAGGGTCCGCCTGTCAGTTCTTGCCTTCTTGTATATATTCTTATTGCTATCCAAACACCCCTGTATAATGATCGGAATCGTCAAATAGCGTCATCTGTCACACTTTTGCTGAGTTCACCTTTTCTGTGACACTTCCTTGACAGTTCCGTGGCGCTTCCATGACAGTTCTGTGACAGTTCTGCGACATTTATAGAAAATTTAATAGCAGGACAATCATGTTAGTCCTCTTGTATTCAATAAATAAAATAAAACAAAATTTGTGTTTAATTTATGTGTAACGTAATAGCCAAGATACCTATAATTTCACCATATTGCAACCGATGAGGATGTGTGAATGTCAAATTTACTGGATAAAATGAAAAATGGGGTTGATTTTTTTAACACCTTTAACGAACAACGCTAACGAACCACTCTATAATTCGAACTATTTTACACACCGAAATTTCCATTCAACAAAACCGCGAGCGCGCTCTTATCGCTCTCGACCACAAATACCTTTTTAGACCTTATTGTACGTATACATAGTAACGAAACGCTTTTTTTTCCTATCTACATACTCTGCGCTAATATTTATAAAAATCTATTTTGAAGACCGATGTGTTAATATACAGAATTGTGAGTGGAAATACCAAGGCGACGTCTGCCCATACTTTACCGCAATATTTCATACATCCATTTTCGCTCAAACCGACTTCTACTGATCTCGCCTACCGACGCGGCTCTTATGTGTGTAACTCTTATCTCAAACCACATTTCATAATTTTTAATTTTTCATTATGGAATTTTGGGGAAATATTTCTGTGACGTCATCGCATGACCTATTACGCTGTCATCGAGCTGTGGACATTTTACTAAAAAATCTGGTGGCGACCGATCTCATGCGACATCCGTGCAACTCTTATCTCAACATCTTGATTTTTACGAATACGACCAACTTCTAGCGATCTCGACGACCACACCTCGGCTTCGAGTTTATCTCAACATCTTTTCATTACCGACTTCTACCGATCTCGCCTACCGACGATCCCCGATGACCACACCCATATTCAGCGGTGCAAAACCCAAAATACAAGGAGTGGGGGTAAAATTAAAATAAAAACGGCTGGGCGTCTGCGCGGAGCGGCTGGGGTGTCTGGGTGGCTGGGCTGGCTGTCTCGCCAGACCGACGCCCCTTCTACTCAACTGTGCATGGACATTCATAACTTGGGTCCTAAGGAAGATGTTTCTCGTATTATAGACTCTGATTTTCCAATAACTTCCAGTTCCCAAGTTTCGAAGTTCATCAACAAAAAAACCGAAATTGTTCTGTTGGAGAAGGATACTGTATTGAGAATTATATTCGTTTAATTTCTAATAGGAATATGTTTGTAGGCAGTGACCTGATGTAAAAATAGGAACCTATAGAAATCATGCTCAAAATAGACTTAAGGTACTCAATACCATTAAAGAACCTCTTTTGCATTGTGCTTTGCTCGCCCTGTACAAGGTATTGTGATATTTGAATGAACATATATAATTTCAATTTTGTGTTCATTTGACTTCCTAATCCTGTAAGAGTAGAAATGGGATTTCATTTTTGAGTCAATAAAAATATCAATAACAATTTTTTAATGATACTTGATTGAAACATTATCCTTTTTCCTAAATTAATATTTATATTTGATCACGTTTGCTATTAAATAAAAGCCATAAACGAGAAAATATTCCAAATAATGCGAGTGCTTTCCATTAGCCAACATAAGATAGAAATAGATAGGTATCCTTAAACACTGCAGGTTGCCTGAACAATATGTTTGCCTCACTCGTCGTTCACAGAGGGTCCTTCAGGTGTTTATATTGAGTTAATTCTGATCTGTTCGTCCGCCATATTGGATACGCATTCTACATAATCGTTAGATTTGAAGATTATAAGTTTTGTCATTTTCTCACTCACCCGTCTGCCGTGTATCTGACGTCCATCTTACTATCGTAGGGCGAGTCGAGACTTCTCGTCAGGAAGTCCGCCTCCCGGGAAGCCCTCCGCACAGGGTTGGCCGCCGAATGCCTCTTCATCCGGTTGGAGGGCAGCGTCCTGTAATAGCCCTCGCAGCCCAGTTGCGTTCGACAGGGCAGCTTGGGCAGCCCGTAGTCCACGGGGTAGCATTCGGGGTCGATGATGCATCTGGAATGATCAGAAATCCGAAGTTATTCCTTGAGGTTTGTGGCGAAGTTATGCAATTTTGAATAGGATCTAAAAAAATGATGGTTTTCAAAATTATTTACAAATTGTATTCTTGCAATCAAAATGCTCACAAGGCACGGCAGCTCTTCGTCTGGCGAGCAGTGGTTGTGAATTCTATAACTTACTTTGTTGAGAGCAGGGGCGCCACTCAGTTTGGTCAAAAAAAACTAAGAGAATGCACTATATGACAAATTACTTCCTGAAAGAGAAATTCAAGTGAAACACTGTGTGAACTCAACAGATTTAATATATCAAAATCTCAAATACCTAGATGTCTTCATAATTCGTGTTCTTAAAATGTTGTTCAGTATTTTTCATGAAAAACAAATTATTTTCAAACTCCCTATTGTCACTGTATTGTTATACTCAAAATCCCTATGGTATTTCAACCTAGATTCCCGATATAGTACTATAATGGGCGAACAGGGTAACTAGAAAAATTGATGTAAAACACTATATACTTGAGACTTCAAGCAGAGGCAATAAAAAAGGCGAAATGTGACATGGGCAATAATAATCCTACACTGAGGTGAGATATTTCAAGAAATGATTAAATCAGAAAAAAAATCGAATCATTCATTGTTGATTGATACTTCTTACTCAGCATCTCCTGGCTGCATACTGAAGTCCTACTCGTAAGGACACCCCTCTTCAGATGAGCTGCCTGGTAGACTCAGCAGACCAGAAACCAGTGCATCAGAGCAGGCCACCTGATATGATGGTGATGAGATGGGGCTCCACTGTAGACAAGGTTTGAACCCAGCGAAACCTGGTAGATGGGCATACGACGAGGTAGGGCTCCGTTGAACTAAACTTCCCATGCGGTCAAGCAGGGGCGAAAGGGACAGGAAATCCAGGAGTGTCGTGCCAACGTCGGTGTCCGGAGTAGTCTCGGAGGATGGTCCAGACGACTTATTATTAAAACCAGAGGTGATGGTGCGGTGTGTAAAGACCAAGATGGATTCCTGATAATCGTGGCCGGCTTTCAAAGGGTGAAAGTAGGAGGCCCACAGATCTATAAAAATAGCCTCTGTAGTATTTTGAAACCTTATTGCTAACCCTCAACAAAAGTATTCCAGCAAGAAGAAATGAAGGAACTTACCCCAATATGGAAAGGCCTCACTTTCAGAAACGAACAGCAAATGAATTGACTTCATGATCGACAGCCAAAGAGTATCAAAGCTGAAGTGGACAGTGGAAGGACACATTCGGCGCCTTCTCTAGAAATTTCTCCCCAAAACCTATTTAAAAAAAACAACTTTTCTCTTGCGCATCCAGGTAAATCGGAATCGACGAATCAGAATTTAGGCGTCTGTCACGTGACTCAGACACTATCAGCTGATTGGCCCACAATGGGGAATCTACGACACCACTCGAGTCCAAACGAAACGCCAACAACCAATCAAACCATAGGACAATCAGAATGACACATATCTCACAGGTCACAGGGCTACGACCATCTAAGGTGAACGGGTTCTGCGTGCTATGGGCTGCTACTAGTCGTTCCGTATCTGTCTATTATGTTCCATGTAACCGACTGAAGAAGACTTAAGGTTTAGTGCTCGTCAACTGGATCAAAACAAGAAAGAGAAGAATAAAAAATAACCTCATACTACATCTGTCGAGGTGATGAAAAATAAAATTTTAAAAAATAACAAATATAAATTTTGAATGATAATACAGATCTAAACCAGGACTTCACCTAATCAATAGCCTTCCTCACCAGCTGTCACGAAGAAACCATTACCATCAACATTCTGAATAAAAAATACTACCTGTACTGTAGCAAGTTATTTATGAGAGACAGGTAAGTCACTTCTGAATTACTATGAGTTCAAATACTAATGTTTAGTTCTTTTTAGGTCTCAAGCCATCAGTTTCAATGCCCTCAACCAAAGATACTATCAATGATATAGTGTTATGTAAGTTCTGTTTGAATAAATGCATTCATATACAGAGTGAGTGTCTCAATTACCCAAGATTATCAACAAGTATAGAAATGGAACTGAAAATTCGAGGAAAAAGGTAATTTTCACGTTACAGGTTAGAACAAAAATGAGAGCGTGAATTCTAATTCAGAAACAAGAAAACAGAAGCCTGCCCAACAACTATGAGCCAATGCCCTGTTTATCAGTCATCTGTCAAAGTGATAGAGAAAGCCATCAATATATTGAACCCATCAAATATCTGGAAAGCTCTGGAATCAATGATGATAGACAATATGGCGACAGCGAAGATCAACTGGAGTTTCATTTGTCCACGTCACCGAAATATGGCAAGCTTCATCAGATATTCATAAGCTCTCCAGCTGTGGAGTTTGAAGTTTGAGTTCGAAGGCATTCTACCATTTATGGCACTAAAGACTTCTTCACGAACTACCATCATACCCAGATAAAAAGGATTTCCTTGATAAAACAAATCCATTTTCTTGGAATTGAATTGTTCCGTACAAGAATTTTTCATTCGAATGGAGCAATATACACTTGTCCCAAATCAATTGGCTTGCTTGCTTTGTTTCTTGGAATTTCTTGATATGAATGTCCTCAACATAAACAGTTCATTTCTTCATTCAAGAAGACCGCAACTACAAGTGACATAAATCCGAATCTATATTGGCTTAGGAAGATCTCTGCTCGTGTAAAAGACTTGCAGTGACGTATATACAGCGGTTCGCCTGCGCCCATTTGACTCCTCAGTCGTTAGCCGCCATTTGTTATCGCTGCTGTTGTTTATTCTGAAGACGGTGCAAAGCACTTTCGTTTTCCAATGGTGAAGTGTTCAAGAATCAAATGTGCTGAGTCATGGATGATAGTGGTGTGATATCATCTTCACAGCAATGCGGCATTCGATATTTGAGGATAATCTGCGGAGGTAACAACTTTGTATATTTTTTTGACAAAGTTTCACCTAGTGAGGTGTTTTCGCTTTTCATTTTATCGGAAACCCGCTGAGAAACTTGATATCGATCATATCTGAAACCATAACTACAGCAGTGATGATTTGGCCAGTCGCATTCATTCGATAACTGATAGGTATCGGTAGGTAATTGTCCTATCTTTATATAATTTTTAGTCGATACCTATAACAACTTTCGTCAAACCCAGAATTCCTTGTCACCAGAAAATATCTGGTAGTCATGATATTTTGAATTGATGATTTTTTCTCTTCTCTAGGTTTTCGTGATTCAACATTGAAGCCATTTCAAGCACAGTGACATTCTGGAGAAGAAGACGAGGACAGCAAATAACAAACAAAAATCTACAAAAATCAATATTACACCTACTAGATTAAGTATAGTGAATGTCACCAATATAGGTGTTACCCTTATTTCCAATTCTACATGTTTATAGCTGATATGATTAATGTTCAATCAGCAGCGACTGAATTGGGTCTAGTCATATTTACGCCTACTTATACCACGTTTTCATCATTTCAAGGAGAATGATTAGAAAGAATTGAATCTGACGTCAATTATCGCAAAAAAACCAACCATTGAAGGCCTTAAGATCGATAAAAATCATGGATCAGTGTATCGACGTCTAACTAACCTAACCTAACCTAACCTAACCTAACCTAACCTAACCTAACCTAACCTAACCTAACCTAACCTAACCCAACCTAACCTAACCTAACCTAACCTAACGTAACCTAACCTGACGTCAATTATCGCACAAAAACCAACCAAACTCAGTCATTTTGGAACACTCTTTTTTTTTCGAAATATGGAATTTGTATTTCAATAGCGTCAGCACTGTCCATTTTTGAAGCTCGAATCAAGGATTACAATTTCTGATCATTTTATTAACATGAAAAACATCCCAAAGAATCAGCAATTTTCGAACAGTTTCAATTCTCTATACAATAAATGACATTTGAAGTCCAATTGCGAGAAAATTGTTTGTAGTTCTAGGTTGGGACATTGGAATTTTTGTTCAGTTCATCAATGTCTACAACATACCAATACTTCAGTGATTTTCACCAGGAGTCACTTTCCCTATATGTTAGTACTAGATCCTTCAAACCTTAATTATCGAGGAATAATTATGGAATTTCCAGGAGCGCGGGAGAGATACCATCATTTTTCGTCAATCTTGTTAGGAGGCAACATGGTTTTGAAATGTTTTCAAATTCAGAATCAGGACACTGATTTAACTACCGATATGATTTTTTTGTGGGAAATGTTTAGTCAGAGTGCTATTTGAAAAAATTAAGTTGATGACGGTTTCTCAAAGACGCAATGTTAGATCAGAAAATTGATGATGTCAAACTAATGAATATTTTTGCTTCTTTATAATCATTACTTTTCTCAACGTTAAATCTCATCTCTTGTTCAAAAGAATTAATTTTTATCAGTGTTCAAGAAAATTCAAGCATGCCATTTTGAGTTGAAAACAGTGTATATTTCATCATTCGAGTGGGTTTTATCTTAAAAAACTCCAATTTCTGAGTTTTCTCGGGTTTTCTCTGATTTTCCTGATCATCTGAGAACGGTAATTGACCGTCATTTTTCCATTCGGAAGTGAATTTAATGATTGGGAAGCAAATATTGTTCGATTTTGAAATTGAGTTGAACGCTTGAAATTGTGTCGTCATATTCAATTAAAACACTAGGAAAATTCTGGAAATTTTCTTCTGCATCCGCTTCAAACCAATTCATGAACAGTTCAGCCAAGGAAGGTGACAACAAATAAATTCCCATTGTTGTACCTTCATATTGTTCGAACAATTGTTGGTTTTACAAGGGTTTCACTGAGGCATATTCTGGCTCATTTTTATAGAATATAGCAAGATTTTTATACCTATCCAAGTTATTCTCTCGAAAATACAGGTTGAGTCATAATTCATTTATTTATGCATTTATTTATTTATTTATTTATTTACTATACATTCAGGAGGCCCTAGAGCCCAACTACAGGGGTATACATAGATACAAACTAAGT